CAACAGAAAAAACATTCTCCCACCCACTTCATCCCATGAACAAAAGGTAATGGTGTACAGGAAGCAATGTCTTAATAAAATGAATCCGAATTTCTGTTGATCCAAATAGAATAATGATCTAGGGCATGTATAAACAGCAAACACGTCTAGAAAGTTGACTGTGGTAAGATGGATGCAAGTTACCAGGTATTCCATCAGCTTTGTATCCTTCTTGGCACGGACTTCTGCAACATCCCAGCACCCTTTCTCTGCCAGCTTCTTTAGCAAACTGCAAATAGATCTCATAAAAATTCTAAATAACCCTAAACAAATATCCTATAATCACTTTCCATTGAGCAACAGGAAAGTCACCTCTCTTTATACAAATAATTAACATCCGGAAACTCTTCTGCAAGGTCATATTGTTTTACCAGCTCATTCGCGCTCTTTAGCATTTTAACATCTAGATACTTTTGAATTATCAAAATTATCATTTCTTTCCCCATGAAAGCTGCCCACTCCTCTGCTGCCTTGTATTGCTTACTTCCAATCAGTTTCATGAGAAATGACTCATCACAGCATTGGATGGAAAAGCGTGTCATCAGGGCCACAGCAGTCACATATGATTCTGATTTCATAAAGTACTGCACATGCTGTTTAAGATGTTCTCTTGCTGCCGCTAGATCTTCATCACCCAACTCTGAACCACGGAAAGCATGGGCCATATCTTTCAACTCAATATCGAATGTCTCAAGGAGCTTTACCAGTATGCGTTCTTCATGGGGTACAACAGAAGCAAGGATATCAAGAACAAGCCGTGCAGCAAGACACTTTGCATCAATAAAATCCTTCTGTACTGACTCCACGGATTTCAAATGCCTTAGAGAAGATATCAACATATGGCTGAACCCTTCAGCATGACTTTGGCCCAACAAAGGTATAATGTACATGCATTGGACAATGTATGTGAATGGGCCTGGCTGAGGAGCATTATTTAATGCTCTTTTAACCTGCTGCTGAAGGATCCTGAACTTTGCGGTTGCTTTGTGGGTTCCTAAATTAAAGCTTACAAAAGGTCAGAGTTATGAAAAGCATAAGAAATAACATAAAGGAGAAGATCAAGAATCAAATAGACATAAAAGAACAAGGCAATGACACATCTGTGACGGAGTAGATAACTACAGTAGGCTACTCATAAATTACAAGGAGTTTGGAAAGCAAAGGATTCAAGACCGTGCGCTATATTATGATGTTAAAGTTTACCTCATCCCAATTACAGATTGCACAGGGGCTATACTTTCTAACACAAGTTTAGTTTGTTTTGGAATGTTCTATTTTCATAGTTTACAGAACAAGTTGTGGCAGGGCTTAGAAAAAAGCAATTCAACGAATAAATAATGAATACCGAATTACAGAAGCATCACATTCATGGAAATTTAAGGATAACATAAAGGAAATAAGTATACCATAGAAGTAGCAGTCCTTCAAAAGATACATAAAAGTAGCTGCAGAAACATGTGACAGATCAGAAAAAGAGTGTAAGCATATGGAGCGATGTTAATTCTTTTGATTGCTTTCAGAGGCTTCCCGTGCCCTTGCCTTGAGACGACCCATAGTTCAATGAATCATGCCCAACCTGTCCACCAAAGAAAATTTGCCAACTTAAACAACATAAAGTGAACTATTCCCAAGACCAAAATAGAGCAGAACACACCATAGGTGTTTAATTTGCACGGCCATGTCACTTGACCCCTCGAACTTGAGAATGGCACACTTAGGCCTCCACAAATTGTAGAAGTGGGTAAATACAAAATAGAGGACTAAACTTAACTTAGGTAGTAACTAATTGCCATGTGGCACTTGGATCCTCCTGTTTAAACTAAATTTTGACCAGGCAGTTGCTAATTAAGATCAAGCGGGAGCTTGTAAAGAACTAAAAAAAATCATAAGATGTGCAAAAACTTGTTCAAATCCAAGAATATTAATTCTCCAATGATCTCAAATAATGATCACATGGAGATTTAGACTGACCTAAGGTATCATGTGACTCATACTCATGTACCTCTAATGACCATGATTCTTACATTTGTTTACCCAGTTGTACAGGCTTAACTGAATGTGAAATACTCAAGACCCGGGGCCCAAGTGACATGCTGGTGCAAGCATTGGCACATCTTCAGTAAACAAGAAGCGCACAACAGAACACTATTTTAGATCCCCCGCCTTAATATCAAAATCATAACAGAATACTATTTAGATCCCCTGCCTTAATATCAAAATCACATCAGAATAACATTTTAGACCCCCTGCCTTAATATCAGAATCAGAATCACAACAGAATACTAATTTAGATCCCCTGCCTTAATATCAAAATCCGTGAAACAGGATAAAGATCATCTTAATAAGCAAAAATATATGAAGACCATGTCATCGGTTTCAGAGCTTCCTAGCTCCCAGCAGAAGTTCTTTCTTCCTGCAATCACTACTAGGACAACGATTCCATTGAGCTCCTGGGACCTAGAATTACCACTACAACAGAAACCATTTTTTCTTCTCTGTTCCCAATCCATTGGAGTTCCCAACCATCTTCAGGTAAAACCATCAAGCTCTTTCGCTGATTAAATAACGGCAACCAGCAAAGATAAGCATACGCAATGCGCTGCTGGAAATCCTAAATCAGTACCAACGTCGACCACTCAGACGATTTACAAACGAAGCGGGGGTGGGGGGTGGAACTAGTAGCCAAAAAAAACAAAAACAAAAACAGGCGAGGTCTTCGTTTCTAACGCCGCGGAACTGCATAGGAAGAAGGCGTAATCTCGCCCTAGATGGAAGGAGAAGACGAAGCAAGGAAGAAATGTGATACCTACGCAGGTTCCGGCCTCCGCGCTCTCTTTTGGGGATCAGAAGGTTCCTTCCTGGTACCGTGAGATTCTAGGGTTTGGTTTGTGGCTTTGGAAGGGCGAGGGGGAAGGGGGGCCGGACAAAGGGGAGGAACGCCAACGCCAGCACGGGAGCGGCACAACGCCTCAGCTCTCTCTGACTTGACCTCAGGTTTCCGTTTTCGGCTGTTTGTGCAGGGCTGCTCGTGTTCCTGCGACTTTTCCCTTTTTTTTGAAAAAGTTTAAAATAAACCTTGAATTTGTAGACGAAAACTAAGACCAACTTCACCGCGCGATCCTATCTTGTCCACGCGCGTTCGTTTGGGGTAAAACGGACGAACCGAACGGCCCAGCGCACGGGAGCAAACGGACTTTTGTCCGTTTTGTGTCCGCTTTCGACCCATCCCGGCCCAAGTTTGCGCCGATTTTGGGATGAAACAAACAGTGTGCGGACGGGCGGGACGCGCGCGCTTGTCCGCCCCTGGCCCACCTGACGGTGACACAAAGCAAAAAAAATCGCGCCCCCTTTGGCGCCATTTTCCCCCAAACCCTCCCACATCCCGTCGTCCCCCTCCCTCCCCCGTCCATGGCCGACGCCCAGCCAAACTCCAGCGCCCTGGCCGTCGACCCGCCTGGAATGGCCAAGAAGAAGAAGGCCAAGGCGCCAAGGAAACCGCGGTCAGAGTGCACGCCGGAGGAGATCGCCAAGTTGGACGCGGAATCGGCGAAGAGGAGGAACCGGAGGACGGTCGTCAAGGACAACGCCGCCGCGGCCAAGTTCATCGCCGAGCGCGCTGCTCTCCTCATCCTAGTCCTTTCCTTGCTACGACCATGAGACTTCGGCCTTGTATATGTTTGTATGTCCAATTCTTGTTGATCTTGTGGTGTAGGCATTTCAATCTTTGAAAGCATTCATGTAGCGATCAGACCTCAAATAGTCTGATCTCTGTGCATCAGTGTCATCCCTGGATCGGTAATACTGACACACACAGTACTTAAAGGATTTATAACAGAGTAGCAATCACACACTTATTACATCGGATATCTCAAAAGAGAACTTATTATAATAAATATGGCTTAAGGCCATCTAATAACGATAACAGCGGAAGGCTTGAAAGATAAAGCGAGTCCATCAACTCCAGCGGCATCACTGAGTATAAGACCACGACCTAAGGCACCTTACTCGTCGTCTGAAAAGTCTGCAACATGAACGTTGCAGCCCGAAACGGGTCAGCACATGGAATATGTTGGCAATGTAACACATAGAGAGTAATGAATAAAAATAATGCTATACTACATGCATATATGGCTGGTGGAAATCTCTATGGTTACAGTTTTTGCATAAAGCCAGCTTTTTTCTACAGCAAAGGAATAAATTTTATTTAATTATCATGGTGGTTGTTAAACATTGAGAAGGTTCACCCAACTCAATCCCAAATAAGCATCATCATTAAAATCCAACAAATTAAATTAAAGAATATGATGAGATTCACATGATAATCCAGGTACTAGATACTCAAAACGTCCATAACCGGGGACACGGCTAACCATGATTAATTTATACACTCTGCAGAGGTTTGCGCAAGACTCGATCTCCTCCGTTTAGAATTCTCGCACTACATGGTGTTTGAGAAACGGATGACCGAGACATAGTCTTTCAGAAGCGTTTGCACCTTACGATGGGTAGACAGTTACACCTACTTTTCCCTACATCTGCTAGTCTACTACTGTAAGAGTTCACACGACTTAATCAACTATGCTAGAGCCCATAGTAGCTTGCGGCTGCACACAAAAGTTTCTAGCATTAATAATCTCATGATCCCTTTGAGTCTGGGTGGCGGTCCATAGGCGAATCACACGGTACCCCGGGATTTCCAAAAATACAGGCAACACTGGATTCCCCAGGTGCCTCAATCTACCCAGATGTGTATTAAAGTTGCCACCTTAAGTAAACAATTAATTTAACAATCTCACATCTGTCATGGATACACTCACCCAATCCACGTCTACTAGCATAGCATAGTGATATAAGCAAACATAGAAGTAACTCCCAAGGTTTGATAATAAAACAGGTAATAGGTTCTACCTCATCTACTTCCCCAAAACCCATATGTTAATCAGATCCTAATCATGCAATTGTTTGAGATTGATCTAATGCAATAAAACTGGGTAGTAAAGAGGTATGATCAAAGTGTTACCTGCCTTGCTGATGATCCGTGAAACCTAAAGACTCGTAGTAGCAAGCGGCGCACTCTAGGTACTCTATCGCAAACAAACAAGCATAGAATAAGCACTCATCTAATGCACGGATAAAACTCAAATAAGAGATCTAACCAGAAAGTTCAACTTAAGAACTCCGGTTTGCAAAAAGAAACAAATCAAACGAAGCAACGAAAGTCAAACGGCGAAAGAAACAAATTTCGTTTACTAATCTGGACCTAAGTCAAAATTTATAGTAGCAAAATCTTGTTTGAGTTGGTTAAACGGAAAGAGGGTTTCGAGACGAAACTCTAGGCGCTTGAATCGCCTGATTCCGATAAACGAGCGAAAAGTTATACTAGAACGAAAATCGGATCAAAAATCGCGATCGGAAATAATCGCGGAAAATCCAAGAAAAAGAAAAACGGACGAACAGGCTAATGAACGAACGTTCGCTGTCTGCGGCTAAACGACGAAAATCGTTCGTTAAAATGAACGTACGAACGAATGTCCGCAAAATAAATAAACCGGAAAAAAACTAAACCGATCTATATAAAAAAATAAACCACGGTTTTTATAAAAAAAACGGGCGGTTTTTCTTAGAAAACCGTCGGCGGCGGGGCGGCTACCTCCGGCGAGGTTCGGCGATGGGCTCTGGCGGGGCGGGGCGACGGTGACGGTGGTGGGTGGTGGAGGCGACGGGCGACGGGGCGGCGGCGGTCGGGATGGGCGGCGGCGGGATTCGGCGGCGACGACGCGGGTCTCGGGGTGAGGCGGGGCTGGTGGCTAGGGTTTCGGCCCGGGGCGGGCCGTCGGCCTTTAAAGGCCGCCCGGGCACAGTGTCCAGGTCGGACACAGCCCGGTAAGGCGGTAACCTTTTAAAAAATATAATTACGACGTGCAGAAAAAGAAAGAAAAGAAATACTAAACGGACTCCAAAAATTTCGAAATATATGTTTCCCGTCCTCTAAAAATAAGCCGGACAAGATGGACATTTATTTGGGGCCTAAATGTAATTTTGAAACACGCGCATTTTTTCTAATTCAAAATAAAATAACGATAAAACACCGAAATAAAATCTTAATTGATTTTATTATTAAATCTCCAATATTTCTTTATTTTGGGAAAGTCATTTTATTCCCTTTTTTATTTTTATATAAAAAATATTTGAAAATAAAATAATTAAAATCAAATGATCCTATTCTCAAAATTTGAGAAAACTCAAATTTGAAAATAACGAAATCTCCAACTCTCTGTGTGGGTCCTTGAGTTGCGTGAAATTTCTAGGTACAAGCCAAAATGCAATAAAATATGATATGCAATGATGATCTATTGTATAACGTTCCAAATTGAAAATTTGGGATGTTACAAACCTACCCAGCTTAAGATGAATCTCGCCCTCGAGATTCGGGTTGG